ACAGATGTCAGTGCAGCGTCCAGACTAAAACAGAGTGCCCGGGGTCTGCACAGGGCCCATCCTCCCAGCCGCTTTCACCCAAGTGTTCCGTGAATGAAGAGTTCGCTTGGACTAGACCTACATGCCCCCTGATATTTAAATGCTGTTCAATGTTCTGTGTCCATTATCTCTAATAACGCCCTCCTAAGAGCCTACATCCTTATTATTGCCACAATATGCAAGGCTGGCGCCAGTAAAGCCTGGCAGAGGTCCCCTTGGGGAGGGATTGAGGGAAGGCCCCTGGATTCCTCATTGCTTGATTTTCCAGGCAAGCTTAGTGAGGCAGGAGAGGCAAACCTCTGTGTGGGGAAGGAGGAAAACTTGACTGCAGTGGATGGGATTACATGTGTGCTTTGGGGCAAAAGACGAGGATCCAGACAACCCTTGTGAAAGTTTAAGTCAGCAGAGTATAGATAAGCTGAAACCAGATCCCTCCGGCCTCTCTCAAGCCATTGGGCCCAAGTTCCAGGCCAGACTTCAGATTTTCCCCAACAAGTTTCTGTTCAGCATCTTCCTGAATATCTTTGAGGATTCAAAGCTTATTACTGTCTCAAGACACCACTGGGAAAATACTAAATGGGGCAAGAACTATTCTGGAGAGCAGTGGTTCTCAACCTTCCTGATGCCGCGACCCTTTCATACAGTTCCTCATGTTGTGGTGACCCCCAACCATAAAATTATTTTTGTTGCTACTTCATAACTAGTTTTGCTCCTGTTATGAATCGTCATGTAAATTTCTGATATGCAGGGTGTATTTTCATTGTTACAAATTGAACATCATTAAACATAATTAAAGCATAGTGATTAATCACAAAACAATATGTAATGATATATTGTGAAATATTTATGTGTTTTCCGATGGTCTTAGGTGAGCCCTGTGAAAAGGTCGTTCGACCCCCAAATGGGTCACAACCCACAGTTGAGGACCACTGCTTTAGAGTAGAGCTGGTTTGGGTTTTTGGATGGGGGCGTTGACTAGCAATCCTGAGGAGCCCTGGTGGCACTGTTGGATGAATGATGGACAGGTCAGCAGTTCAAACTTGCTAGCCTCTCTGAGGGAGACAAATGAAGCTGTCCACTCTCGTTAAATGTGCAGCCTCAAAACCCACATGGAAGCAGCACACCAGCCTGTGTGATCATGGGGTTTCGATGGGATCAGGTATTAGGCATCAAAGAACAAAAAATCCTATCATTGTGAATGGGGGGCAGGGACTACAGAGTGGAGACCCAAAGCCCATCTGTAGGCCACTGGACATCCCCTTACAGAAGGGTCTCGGGAAGGAGATGAGCCAGTCAGGGTGCAGTGTAGCAA